CAACTTCACATCACTATCAGCAACTTCACATCTCAATCAGCAACTTCACATCTCAATCAGCAACTTCACATCTCTATCAGCAACATCACATCACTATCAGCATCATCACATCACTATCAGCAACTTCACATCTCTATCAGCAACTTCACATCTCTATGAACAACTTCACATCTCTATCAGCAACTTCACATCTCAATCAGCAACTTCACATCTCAATCAGCAACTTCACATCACTGTCCGCAACATCACATCTCTATCAGCAACATCACATCACTATCAGCAACTTCACATCTCTATCAGCAACTTCACATCTCTATGAACAACTTCACATCTCTATCAGCAACTTCACATCTCTATCAGCAACTTCACATCTCAATCAGCAACTTCACATCACTCAGTAACTTCACATCTCTATCAGCAACTTCACATCACTATCAGCAACTTCACATCTCTATCAGCAACTTCACATCTCTATCAGCAACTTCACATCTCTATGAACAACTTCACATCTCTATGAACTTCACATCACTATCAGCAACTTCACATCACTATCAGCAACTTCACATCTCTATCAGCAACTTCACATCTCTATGAACAACTTCACATCTCTATCAGCAACTTCACATCTCTATCAGCAACTTCACATCTCAATCAGCAACTTCACATCACTCAGTAACTTCACATCTCAATCAGCAACTTCACATCACTGTCAGTAACTTCACATCTCTATCAGCAACTTCACATCACTATCAGCAACTTCACATCTCTATCAGCAACTTCACATCTCTATGAACAACTTCACATCACTATCAGCAACATCACATCACTATCAGCAACTTCACATCACTATCAGCAACTTCACATCTCTATGAACAACTTCACATCTCTATGAACAACTTCACATCACTATCAGCAACATCACATCACTATCAGCAACTTCACATCTCTATGAACAACTTCACATCTCTATCAGCAACTTCACATCACTATCAGCAACTTCACATCACTCAGTAACTTCACATCTCAATCAGCAACTTCACATCACTCAGTAACTTCACATCACTATCAACAACTTCACATCACTATCAGCAACTTCACATCACTATCAGCAACTTCACATCACTCAGTAACTTCACATCTCAATCAGCAACTTCACATCACTCAGTAACTTCACATCACTATCAACAACTTCACATCACTATCAGCAACTTCACATCACTATCAGCAACTTCACATCACTATCAGCAACTTCACATCTCTATCAGCAACTTCACATCTCTATGAACAACTTCACATCACTATCAGCAACATCACATCACTATCAGCAACTTCACATCACTATCAGCAACTTCACATCTCTATGAACAACTTCACATCTCTATCAGCAACTTCACATCTCTATCAGCAACTTCACATCTCAATCAGCAACTTCACATCACTCAGTAACTTCACATCTCTATCAGCAACTTCACATCACTATCAGCAACTTCACATCTCTATCAGCAACTTCACATCTCTATGAACAACTTCACATCTCTATCAGCAACTTCACATCTCTATCAGCAACTTCACATCACTCAGCAACTTCACATATCTATCAGCAACTTCACATCACTATCAGCAACTTCACATCTCTATCAGCAACTTCACATCTCTATGAACAACTTCACATATCTATCAGCAACTTCACATCTCTATCAGCAACTTCACATCTCTATCAGCAACTTCACATCTCTATCAGCAACTTCACATCACTATCAGCAACTTCACATCTCTATCAGCAACTTCATATCTATAGCCCAGTGGTTAAAGCATTTGCATGTCACTCTGAATACCCAGCTTCTATTCTCTACATGGGTACAAGGCAGGAAGCCCATTTCTGTTGTCCCCCCGCCGTGATATTGCTTGAACACTGCTGAAAGCAGCGTAAAACCCAACCCACTCAATTCATTAAAGGCAATGAAATACTGGCACACTTGTTGAAAAACAAACAAATTAACAGATAAGACTAATTTACAGCACACCTTTGACATAACAGAGTGCCTGACCAGAGTGCCTGGTCCAAGTACCTGGTCTGAGTGCCTGGCCTGATTGTACATATATCTCGGTCAATCTTTACCAATAATATTGAATCAATAACCAAAGTCATCTAACACAATTTTTCAACTGACCACACATTCTGAATGACCAATACAGCAGTGTACCTAGTCCAGTTCACAATCAGATAGACTTATCTGACCACATTAGCTTAATTGCCCTGGTGGTCACTGGCTCTGAATGCTAGCGGTCAGGCTGCACTGATGGCCTTGGTCAAGGTATATTATCCCAGCGGTCAAGCACCTTGTGTAAAACCAGGCTTACAATAACACGCTCCGACCGAAAGTCTTGTCCGTTTTCTAGACTAAATCTTTTGTGATGATGATTGGAAGTACTTTCACTGGTCAGATACCACAGACAATAGAGTCAGGTTTAACTCGAGTTACATGGATTATCTTTGTAGTGGTTTTGTGGGGATTAGGAGCGGGTTATTAATGAATTAACATACCAACACCTTGGACACTAAATACCTTGATTTCTCGCTTGGTTGTTTGTTTACTGCATTGATTTTTGGCCATTTGTTTCCTTTTCAAGTCAATTTAGGACAGATTTGGAGATTGTGAAGTACTGATGTGAATGGCTGGAGAGAGGGAGGGAGCCCCAGTGTGGTTGTGTGGTGTGGTGGTGTGGATATGTGGTTTGTTGTTTGGTGACGAATGAGGATAGGTCGAGTGAGTGAGTTGAAAGTCACATTATCAATATTTAAGCTGAATTTTTCCTTAGACAGGAGGTTGGTTGGAAGGATGGTTGAAGGTTGGTTGGAGGTTGGTAAGAGGGATGGTTGGAAAGATGTTGCAGGGAACCTATGGAGGGTATTACAGGGAGTTGTGGAATATGTTTGAAGGTATCAGAGGGTTGGTTGGACAGTGTTGTAAGCTGTAGACTGCAGTATGTTGGCGGGCAGTGCAGTATGTACTGCAGTATGTTTGTGAGTAGTGCAGTGTTATATGGTCTAACATATATAGGGTGTCAAACATCTCTATAAAAGTATAAAAGTAATGATCCTTGCACTAAGATCTTGTCTACACCAGGACCAGTCCTCCAATCAGAATCTATCTCAGATATGATTCTTCTTTCACCCAACACAGTCTCACCTGAAGTCAAACACCAAGCAGTCTCCTTGACAGCACTGACTGATGTGAAACTTAAATCAAGACAGCCAGAGAGAATCTTTTGAAAACGCTTCCCTAATGAGAGTACACCAGCTTCCACTGAAAGCATCTGAGGACTTATCCCCTCCACAGCTGTAACCCGACACTGTGAAGACATCCCAGTCCATTCCACACCCTTCATAATCTCTGTCGGGAGCCATCTCTCATTTAAAGAAGATAAAAATTATTTTTAAATGCTCAACCAAAAAATATTCATGGGGAGTTAAAGGTCATAAGGGTTAAAATCTCCAACAGATGATGAGATTTTTGGGTTCGGGCTTATCAATATTAACATCTATCTTTATTGGCAAATTGATAAACCAGGAACACAGAGCTACTGAGGTCAAAATGCAGGTGTTGAAAGATACAACATGTGTTGCCTATATATAGAATTCCTTCCCCAGTTTATTAAATAACTGTGCAGCCTCTATCAGTAATATATATCAAATGCTGATGGAACCCAACCAACTGTCCATCTTAATGAAAACTATTTATGAGACTGACTGACTGACTGACTGAGTTTGGTTTTACGCCGCTTTTAGCAATATTCCAGCAACATCACAGCGGGGGACACCAGAAATGGGCTTCACACATTGTGCCCATGTGGGGATTCGAACCCGGGTCTTCGGCGTGACAAGCCAACACTTTAACCATTAGGCTACCCCACAGCCCCTATTTATGAGACAAGATCTCAGCATGTTCGTATTCCTTATAGGCATCATACACAATTTAAAATGTATTTAAAATTCAAAACTACTGACTGTAATACTACTGACAAATAATTCCTATTAACTTGAAAAGGAGACCCAGTGAGATAGGAGATTCAGAACCTGAGGAAATCTAGACTTGAATCATTTAGGCTTTAGCATTGCAATGCAGTTCAGGGACTGTGAAACAGTCTAAAAACTGAGGTGAGGTGAAATTGGGTTTTATGTCGTGCTTGAGAACATTTCGCTCATATGACGACTCTAGAAACTGAACAGCAATAGATCCTTTGGAGTTTCTGTCGAAGAACAGACCACAAGTATGTGATGTTTATTTGTCAAACTTTTGACGAAACTTTGTAAGTCAGATTTGTTGATACAAGACAAATCTTAAGGATAACAACTTCTTGATTTAAAAAAATAATTTCACAACATTGTGAAAAAAAAATCAAACAAATCAATAACATTTGTCTTGTATTACTACACCAACTTCTAAATGCCTTTGAAGAATTTCAGATTTGTTGATGACGCTGATGGCGTGTCTTCTCTAACTAACTCACGATCACTGGATTGTCTGGTCCAGACTCGATTATTTACACACCACCGCCATATAGCTTGAATATTGCTGAGTGCGGCGTAAAACTAAACTCACTCACACTGTAACTAACCCTCTAGTACACTCACTCAATGATCTATCCTCTAAATCACTCACTCACTCACTCCACAGCCCCCATCACAAACCATGCTTTCACACTTTCCAGTTCCAGCTGCTAATGGAAGGCGATGCAATCAACTTCACCAGCTAATTTCTCCACTCAATGAGGTGTTAATTAAGCTGTTGAATTCCATTAGTGAGTCTATTTCACCTGGTATGTCCTCCATGTGGAACACATTACATCTTCCTGAAGACCTGTGAAGACTGTTACAGACCTGTACACAGAAATACTCCACATGGAGCCTTGGTCCAGAGAATGAAATAACACACATGCAATCAAACCTTGTCAGTATGGGTGCCTTTCATCCAGAACCATCATCAGTATGGATGTCATTAATCCAGAAACCTTGTCAGTATGGACACAAATAGTGGAGGGTTGGTTAGAGGGTGTCTGAGGGTTGGTGGGAGGGTGTTGGTTGGAGGGTGTCTGAGGGTTGGTGGGAGGGGATTGGAGGGTGTCTGTGGGTTGGTGGGAGGGTGTCTGAGGGTTGGTGGGAGGGGATGAGAGAGGTGTCTGAGGGCTTGGTGGGAGGGTGTCTGATAGGTTGGTGCGAGGGTGTTGGAGGTGAGGGTTGGTTGGAGGGTGTCTGAGGGTTGGTTGGAGGGTGTCTGAGGGTTGGTGGGAGGGGAATGGTGGGAGGTGTCTGTGGGTTGGTGGGAGGGTGTCTGTGGAGTTGGTGGGAGGGGATTGGAGGGTGTCTGAGGGTTGGTGGGAGGTGTTGGAGGTGTTGGTGGGAGGGTTGTCTGAGGGTTGGTGGGAGGGGCTGGAGGGTTGGGGGAGGAGTGTCTGAGGGTTGGTGGGAGGGATTGGAGGGTGTCTGAGGGTTGGTGGGAGGGTGTCTGAGGGTTGAGGGGTGGGAGGGGTATTGGAGGGTTGGTGGGAGGGTGTTGGAGGGTTGGTGGGAGGGTTGAGTGGGAGGGTGTCTGAGGGTTGGTGGGAGGGGTGTCTGAGGGCTGGTGGGAGGGGGGATGGAGGTGTCTGTGGGTTGGTGGGAGGGTGGTGTCTGAGGGCTGGTGGGAGGTGTGGGTTCTGGGAGGGGATTGGAGGGTGTCTGAGGGTTGGTGGGAGGGATTGGAGGGTGTCTGAGGGGTTGGTGGGAGGAGGGTGTTGGAGGGTTGGTGGGAGGGATTGGAGGGTTGGTGGGAGGGTGTTGCAGGGTTGGTGGGAGGGTGTGCTGGAGGGTTGGGAGGATCTCTGAGGGTTGGTGGGAGGGTGTTGGAGGGTTGGTGGGAGGGTGTTGGAGGATCTCTGAGGGTTGGTGGGAGGGTGTTGGAGGGAGGGCTGGTTTGATGAATGATGTAGTGTATGTTGGAGGGTGTTAGAGGGTTGAGAGGGTCAGCCACACATTTTTCTTCTTCCATCAACTGGTAGGTGAGCCAACTGGTTTAGTGGACTGTCAGTGAAAGGTTTGATCCTTCGACCCAGTCACACCACAATATGCTAGATGATGGTTCCTTGCCTGGCCCTTGGCATTAAGGGAAAAAACATTACTGACTGGCTCACAGTTTGTGTAATATGGCAGAACTGAGTCTCCATGCTTAACTGGACATGGTATCTCGGTGAGCTGGCAGTATACAACCTGCCTAAACCTACACACTAACACAACCAACCGCTAACAGATGTATGATCGTCACTATATAAGGGAAATACACCTGAACGAGGTTACGCTTGAACCCTATTCCACCTGACATCCTCCAACAGGTGAACGAGTGCATCACGATCTACAGCGATGGAATGTGCACTGTACTGATCAAGCAGTTCATAAAAACAGCTGTTCACCAAGTGCACAATCTCATATTGCTAGAAAAGCTGGTCACATGTATTTAGCGGTTAAACCAATCAATGTATAACTTTACATAGCTCATACATTTTATAATCGATATTGTACTAGGTCACCTTTATGAACAATGAATAGCAAGAGAACTGATTACTTATTAGAAATATCATTTTAATACTTGTCTGAATAAACTAGTCATTCATTAACCCAGTTTGATAATTGATAATTATACATCCATTAAAAACAAGATATAATGAGTGATGGTATTTTTACATGACATTTAAATCAATTTTAATATAATGTTATGGATTAATCTTTGTCAATGCTTAAAAGACATTTGTGTTTGTATTCTCCTCTAAAACTGATCATGATGTCATGATTGATGTCCATGCTATTAGGGGATGATGTCATGATTGATGTCTCATGCTATTAGGGGATGATGTCATGATTGATGTGTCATGCTATTAGGGATGATGTCATGATTGATGTGTCATGCTATTAAGGGATGATGTCATGATTGATGTCTCATGCTTTTAAGGGATGATGTCATGATTGATGTCATGCTATTAAGGGATGATGTCATGATTAATGTCCATGCTATTAGGGATGATGTCATATCCATGCTATTAGGGATGATGTCATGATTGATGTCCCATGCTATTAAGGGATGATGTCATGATTGATGTCCCATGCTATTAAGGGATGATGTCATGATTGATGTCCCATGCTTTTAAGGGATGATGTCATGATTGATGTCCCATGCTTTTAAGGGATGATGTCATGATTGATGTCCCATGCTATTAAGGGATGATGTCATGATTGATGTCTCATGCTATTAAGGGATGATGTCATGATTGATGTCTCATGCTATTAAGGGATGATGTCATGATTGATGTCCAATGCTATTAGGGGATGATGTCATGATTGATGTCTCATGCTATTAAGGGATGATGTCATGATTGATGTCCCATGCTATTAAGGGATGATGTCATGATTGATGTCCCATGCTTTTAAGGGATGATGTCATGATTGATGTCCCATGCTATTAAGGGATGATGTCATGATTGATGTCCCATGCTATTAAGGGATGATGTCATGATTGATGTCCCATGCTATGTCCCATGCTATTAAGGGATGATGTCATGATTGATGTCCCATGCTTTTAAGGGATGATGTCATGATTGATGTCTCATGCTATTTAGGGATGATGTCATGATTGATGTCTCATGCTATTAAGGGATGATGTCATGATTGATGTCCATGCTATTAGGGATGATGTCATGATTGATGTCTCATGCTATTAAGGGATGATGTCATGATTGATGTCCCATGCTATTAAGGGATGTTGTCATGATTGATGTCCCATGCTTTTAAGGGATGATGTCATGATTGATGTCCCATGCTATTAAGGGATGATGTCATGATTGATGTCCCATGCTATTAAGGGATGATGTCATGATTGATGTCCCATGCTATTAAGGGATGATGTCATGATTGATGTCCCATGCTTTTAAGGGATGATGTCATGATTGATGTCTCATGCTATTAAGGGATGATGTCATGATTGATGTCTCATGCTATTAAGGGATGATGTCATGATTGATGTCTCATGCTATTAAGGGATGATGTCATGATTGATGTCTCATGCTATTAAGGGATGATGTCATGATTGATGTCTCATGCTATTAAGGGATGATGTCATGATTGATTTATCATGCTCTTAAGGGATGATGTCATGATTGATGTCTCATGCTATTAAGGGATGATGTCATGATTGATGTCTCATGCTATTAAGGGATGATGGCATGTAGTGTCACAGAAGCTGATCACCTCCTCCAGCAGTATACATGAGGTTGTGGTGAGGTGAGGTTCTGGTGCGGTGAGATAAGTTGAGGCTGTGGTGGGTTGAGGTGTGGTTGTAGTGAGTTTTGGTGAGGTGAGGTTGTGGTGAGGTGAGTTGAGTAGAGGTTCTGGTGAAGTGAGGTTGTGGTGAGGCAAGTTGAGGTGAGGTTCTGGTGAGGTGAGGTGGTGGTGAGGTGAGATGAGATGAGGTTGTGTTGAGGTGAGGTTGTGTTGAGGTGAGGTGACATGCAGTTCTGGTGAGATGAGGTGAGTTGAGTTAAGTTGAGGTTGTGGTGAGGTGGTGAGTTGAGGTGAGGTTCTGGTGAGGTGAGGAGGTGGTGAGGTGAGGTTGTGGTGAGGTTAGTTGAATTGCGGTTGTGGTGAGGTGAGGTCAAAAGAATTAAACTTTGGGATGATGCAATGACCCAAGTCACTGAGCCTGACCACCTCATACAGTTTGATCGCCTCTTTCAACAAGCATGAGATGATGGTGAGGTTGTGGTGAGGTGAGATGCTTTTGTTCATCCATAAGAAAACAGGGAGAAAGCGACTATAAGTGGTGCATTTATGCCTAATGTCTTTGTCTTTTGGGCAATAAAATATGTTTCAAACTAAACACTATCATTACATGTCTTAGCATATGGACTAAAATGTACAGGTTGGAGTACCATGCATCTTCACCACAAGAATGTCATACAGTGCTTTGACATCACAAAGACATGTACAATGCATTGAAATCATAGTCCAAAGCATCTTTCTGCCATACCCACATTTACATATGTTGTGAGCAAAACATCAACTCTTGCAATAAGCCAAGTAGTTAAAGTGTTTGCTGGTCACGCTGACGTCCTAGGTTCGCGTCCTCACATGGGTACAATATGTCAAGACCATTTCTAGTGTTCCCTGCCTTGATATTGCTGGAACACTGCTAAAAGTGGGGCATAAAACCATACTTAACTCTTGTAACCAGAAATGGAATCAAGTTTTGTTGAATATATAGGAGTACCAGTCAAGGGAAGTTAAAGAATTCAATTTCTTTTTCATATGATGGTAATAACGTATCAATGACAAATGGTTGACTAACTGTAACCATTTGAAAAATTGGGTGTCTTCTTTGAAAGGCCAAAACAGATTAGCTATAATCGTATGAAATATCAATCGTTCCTTAACTTCTTTTGAGCTATATTTAAAGGCTGGAATTTACTATTTTATTTTTAGTTGCCCCCATCCCTGCATCACTTTAATAGATTGACTGAAAAGCAGACGTTAACTTAAGTCTGACCATACTGAATCAATCGTATCTCTTCAGTGGGAACATCTCACCACATGGTACATTAAATTGTATTTATTTGGACAAATCTTTCAGCAAATGAACAAACTGATGGGTGTAGTATTTAAGAGACATCTGGCCACTCTGTCTGGACAATGACCACACACAGTAGGTCACTTTGGCCACAGGCCTGGACACTCTGTTATGGCTGACCCTTCCTCCTTCTAGTTGTAAGTAAATGCATTAAAGCACCGGCTCCTTTTCAACATGGTGGTGTATACACATTTATCACTGGACTGTATACACTGGAACACACAAGCAGACGCCATTAACTTGGGATCTCCTCCCCATAAAGACGTAAGGCAATGAAACGCATCAGTGGCAGGCTTTGCTCAACTGGCTGGCGCATCCTTGAAGTTTAGGGACCAATGTTTTAATTCTCTTGGTGCCTTGGAATGTTGTTTGAGGTAGTTTTATTATCCATTACTTTATGTTCCGAATGCTTTAGTTGATGAATATGTTAAAGTTGTCATGTGGGGCCCTGGTGGAAACTGTTGAAAATGGTCATAGTTTGTTTGTTGTTTAACACCACACTCAGCAATATTCCAGATATATAGCGTAAATAACCAATAAATAATCCAGTCTGGACCAGACAATCCAGTGAGCAACTGCATAAGCATCGATCTTCGCAATTGGGATACAATGACATGTGTCAACCAAGTCAGTGGGCCTGGGCCCCGTTTCACAAAGCTATCATAGCTACGACTGTCATAAGTCTATGCTACAGTATAGAAAGTATGATTGCTTACAAGAAAGGTTACGAGATCTTAGGCTTACAAGAGCTTTGTGACCACCCTATCCTGTAAGTTATCTCTTACGACAAGCATGGGTTGCTGAAGACCAATTCTAACCTGGATCTTCATGAGTCGACATCGTCATAGACCCCTATGACTAAAAAATGAATTTCATTTAAATTTATACTTTTGTTTATTGAAGAAATTACTGCAAGAAAAGGTTCCAAATTCAAAATATGAATCTCCAGCTGGTAAGTGCTGTTGTTTGTTTAAGATCAACAAGCTTTGGTTTTGCTGCATCTCTGCAAGGTGTGATCTTCATCTCACACCAACCTTTCAGGTGTGATCTTCATCTCACACCAACCTTTCAGATGTGATCTTCATCTCACACCAACCTTTCAGGTGTGATCTTCATCTCACACCAACCTTTCAGGTGTGATCTTCATCTCACACCAACCTTTCAGGTGTGATCTTCATCTCACACTGAACCTTCAGGTGTGATCTTCATCTCACACCCTTTCAGACCTTCATCTCACACCAACCTTTCAGATGTGATCTTCATCTCACACACCTTTCAGGTGTGATCTTCATCTCACACCAACCTTTCAGGTGTGATCTTCATCTCACACCAACCTTTCAGATGTGATCTTCATCTTTCAGGTGTGATCTTCATCTCAC